ATCAGGATCTGAGTGGTCATAGAGGTGAGAAATAAACAGCAAATGAATTGTTGAGAAGGATTTATCCCCTTCCCTGGCTGCCAGAGTCTTAGGTAGGAAGGAACTATCTGGGTAGAAGGATATAAGTAGAGTGATAAAGAGTTCTGTGCACATGCAATGCAAACAACTCCAACTGATGATGTCTACAGGCCAGCAACAACAAAAAATACACTTTAAGGAAAAGGTGATACATGGTATATGAGACTAAAGGCTTGAATGGATGTCAAGCCAAAGCATGTAATACCACCTTAATATCCCAGTTAGATAATTGAAAAGGCTTTTTGGGATGAAGGACATGAATCAATTTGAGAATGCCAGGTAGCACTTGGGACTCAAATAATTTCTGATGTTTAGAGTATCGAAATGTAGTTGATAAAGCTTCCTTATATAAGGTGATAGCAGATGGTTCTAGCCCTTTGTCAAGCAGCCAAGTCAAAAATCAAGATATGGTTGGCACATTTAGGAGAAGTGGTTTCAATTTCCTCGTGAAACACCACTGTCAATAACTGTGTCATTTCCTTGAGCTAAAGAATGTCTGGGTATATAAAGTCAGATCAAGGATGCCTCAACAGAGATGGCCAAAGAGGAAGTAGTAGAGGTGGGCACTCTTGAAGATACTGAAGAAGAAGAAACCATGGTTGTGCTACCAACAGCACTCGACAAGGGGTGAATCGAACCATAGCCAGAGCTCTGAGTAACAGATGAATTAGTGGGAAGGCATAGAGGTGCAATCCCGTCCAGTCCTGACTCAATGCATTTATCCCCAATGCCCAAGGATGAGGTATCAGGGACCATAATGCCTGTAGTTGAGAGTTCCAATGAGTGGTGACTGCATCTATCATCAGTGTCCAGAACTGAGAGCAAATCCACCGAAAAACTTCACAATGTAGCATTCATTCGGTCGGGTTAAGATAGATTAACTGCTATCAAATTCATCACCCCCAGAGTATGGCAAGCAAGGAGGCTGATATGATGGGAGTGAGCCCAACAGAGAATATCCAAAGTTCAAAACAATGATCCAAAGAATGAGTGCCCCCTTGACTGGAAATGTAAGATATTACCATGGAATTGTCAGAGTGAAGCATGACAATTATTAGTGGTGGTTAAACAGAACAATACTACAAAAGGTGTTCCTCTATCACTCCTTTGTCCTGAGATTCATCTCTTCGTAGATGCCTCACTTCAGGGGCAGTGTGTGAATATCAACAGTCAGGAATTCTGGGGTCTATGGACGGATGAAAAATCTTCCTTCCACATCATTATGTCAATGTCTCAAGGTCTAAATTTATTGCAGGGGGAGATCTAAGATGTTGATCCTGAGTAAGGAGACTGAGTGATTCAGTGGATCGTTGTTCATGATCCATTGGTCATGTAGTGACCACTGAAGAGATTGCATGTGTACTCGTCCCAAAGGAATTACTGATTTGAGGTATGCTCACATCCCCAAAAGAGAGAGAACCATCCATGCAGTGGGAGAAATAGACATGAGTAAGTGACTGACTGCCCATTCCATAGCATGAAGCCAGATGAGAGCTTGACTTAAATACATGTTGAAAAAGTCACCCAGATGGGCAATGTATTGAGTTGGCATGAGAATAGATTTCTCAGCTCTGATGAGGAAGTCTGCCTTGGTGGCTTCTGAAAGGAGAATCTGGGTGTGACAATCCGCCAACTGACGAAATGGTGCCAGGAG